CATCTTGCTGAATTCATGTATTCTAATATTTTTAGTGGATTCCCTATGTTCTTCTTTCTTTCTTTCTTTCTTTCTTTTTTAAATATGCGAGAGTGTCCCTGTGAATAGAGCTAGATTTGCATTTTCCTTTCCAGTCTGGTTGTCTTTTATTTTATTTTCTTGTCTAACTGCCCAGGCTAGATCCTCCAGTGCAATACTGAACACCTGGGGTGAAATCAGGCATCTTTATCTTGTTCTTGATATTAGGGTGGGAAGCATCCTTTCTTCCATGCTATGTATATTAGCTGTAGGGTTTTCGTAGATGCCCTCATCAGGATAGGTCCCCTTATATTCCTAGTTTCATTATTTTTACTATGCGGAGGTATTAGATTTTTGTCAAGTGCTTTTGGTGTATTTAATGAGATAGTCATATAATAGTTTAGGACTCACTTGTTTATAAAAAAACATCCTAAATTAATACAGGCTTCAAGAAAATAGGGGCATTTATTGGCTGACTTAACTGAAAAAGGCCTAGGGGTATCACGTTCAGGCGTGACCTGTCTGATCAAGGATTTCCAGCACTGGTTGCAGATTCACTTTCTTCTCCCTCTCCCCCTCAAATCTCCCATTCTTCTTTCCCTTTATAAAGTACAAATCATATTTAGGTCCCTTGTGATGGAAAAATGTCTGGCAATACTTCCAGGCAAACATTCTTAATATCAAAGAAAAAATAATCTCTATTTCTTTTCACTTTTTTCCAGTCCTAGCAAAATTTCCAGAATTATCTTTAGTTGGGGCCACTTGCCCATTCTGGAACTATCACTTACGAGAAAGGATGTAAAACTCCAGTTTGACCTTAATCATATGCCCACTCTGAAGCTGGTCAGCTCCACCCTAACTGCATAGATGGAGTGTGGAGGGGGTTTTCAGCAGTGTAAGTATGGCAACTGGGTTGCCAAAAGTAAATACCAAGTGGGACCAACAGTTGACATAATGGCTATGTCTCTGGACTCCCATGTAGTAGACCACAATTCGAGTCCCGGACCTGGTGGCTTAAACTTATACTGGGCTCCTGTGTGTGCATGTCCAAGATCCCAAGAGGAGAATGGAGGAGAAGGGATTGTGGCGTGGCCATCCCACCTGGGGGGTGATTTCTGGCTTTCTGTCTCTCTATCTCTTTGGCTATCTGGTGAGCGCATGTGCCCTATAGCAAAAACCTCTCAAAAAAAAAAAAAGTAAATACCAAGTATAATTACTTTTTTATTTTAGTTTTTACTATAGGGCACATGTACTTGTGGGGCAGGAGGGAAGAATCACCTCTTTGGGGGAATGGCCATACTGTAATACCTTCTCCTCCATTCTCCTTTCAGGAATTTGGGGATGATGTGCACATGCAACTCAAACCTCACAGTCAGCATGTTGGATCCAGTGGCCTTAACCAGCATGCCACCTGGCTGGACCCCCAAGTATACTTTTTGTAGTGAAATAATCCAGGATAATACGAAGTGTGTGAAATTGGTATTTAAATATTCTTTTTTCTCTACCTCATTACTGTCAGGGGAAGCTGATAGGAGCTAAAATTCCTTTCTTGTTTATTGAAGTTTCTTACATAATTCCTATAGGCAAGGAATTTGGTTAACCAAATTCCATTCCTACTAGAGAATGGCAGAAAAGGGACTGGGGTTGGATAGGAAGATTGTGTTAATCTAGTATCAGTCTAAGGGAATAGGAACAAGTATAGATCCACAGTTTTCACCTGCCTTTAGTTTCCCTGAGTATTTTATCATTTTGAAGGTAGTTGCAGATTAGTATAAGAGAATAGGACCAAAAGGCTGAGTAGGAGGGAACTCCTTCTGCTATTGTCTTGAGCTGGACATTGTTCTTTTCTGGCCTTCATTGGCTCTTCTTGGGTCTGCTGGCTTTAGAAATGGAATTTGCACCAATCCAGCCTGTGGTGCAGCAGTTATTCAAGTACCCTGTAAGATCGGAATCCATATGGCTAACCACAGGTTTGGAATCCCAAGTTGGCACCCCAGATCAACCCCCAAACACCCTGGGTTAGCTTAAAAACATCTGGGGATGTATACATGGGAGTCCAAGAGCCTAAGATGCCGAGGGGTTGGGAAAAGAAATTGTGGGGTGGAGAGACCCTGTACCTCTCTCACCCATTCCTCCCTCCCATGTGTGCATGCACTCTCTATCATTAAGAAAAAAAAAAAAGGAAAAAAAAAAGAATTGGTGTTTATACCATCAGCTCTTCTGCATCTCTAACTTGTGGACTGTAGATTTTTGAACTTTTCAGCCTTCATGATCACATGAGCTAATTCTGTATCATCTGTGTGTGTGTGAGAGAGAGAGAGAAAGAGAGAGAGAACATACTGTTGATTCTTTTCTCTGGAGAACATTGACTAATACAGATGAGTTTTCTATCTGAAAAAAACACAGTAATTGATGTCTTTAATGCCTTCTACACAAAAGTCATGATGGATTTGGGGAGTATTCACACCAACCAGAGTCATGGGGGTTGATCTGTAGGTGAAAAGACAATAGTGTTCTAGACCAAAATAGATTTCTGGGAATGGGGAGGTAAGGTTTGGGAATTTCTTTGTCAGAAAGGGCAGTATAAAAAGACCTAGATTTCAGAGTCTGATTTTTAGGTCTGTAAGCTAATCTACCTGGGATTGGTCTTCTTATCTATAAAACGAGCTGATTAGACTTGGTTTCAAAGATGTCTTCCATTTTTTAGGTTTCAAAACTGATTCTTCCATTTTACTGAGAGAAGGTGGCCTAACATGTGAACAATCAGACTTTCTCGCAGGGCTGACACCTCACTGATAATGTCTTGATTCCAAGAGTGCTCCTTCTCTGCTCAGGAAGCTGCTGTCTGGTGATCGATATGGTTTCCCAGATTGTAATGTTTGTGCCAAGAACAGTGGCCTTCAGCTTTGATCGTCTGTAGAATTTGAAACCAAGATCAAGAAACATCACCTCTGAAATTAAAATGTAAAGGTTCATTCTAAGAGGTTTGTTAGCCAAGATTTAACTTGTGGTGTGGACAAAAGGACATAGGACTTCTAACATCCAATAAAGAGTTTTGGTCCCTGGGAAGGAAGTCTTTACTATAAAATGTAACAAGAGAAGCAAAAACTGTAGTTTTAGAAAAACTTCCTTTAAAAAATTGTTTTGTTCTCATTATTATTATTACATTTTAAGTTTGTTTTAGGGCACATATACTCACCAGCGAGAGAGACAAAGAAAGGAAGCCATCAGGTCCAGGACTCCAGCCATGTGGGAGTCCAGCATCTTTTTTTAAATTTTATTTAACTTTATTTATTATTATTATCATTATTATTTTCCAGTTTGATCAGAGAGAGAGAGGAAGTGAGAAAGCAAGCTACCAGGTCCGAGACTCGAACCGGGGTTGGCCATGTGGGAGTCCAGCGTCCCCATCCACCATGCCACCTGCCGGCCCCAGGAGTCCAGCATCTTAACCACCACGTCACTTGCTGTCCCTAGGATTAATTAGCTTTGGTGAAAAGGCTATCTGGCAGGATATTTCAGTTCCATTGTTATCAGAGAGTAGATGTTGAGAAGTAGTATTCATCCAGTTTCGTTTTAAAAAGTGAAAGACGTGGTACCTACCTGATCTACATGGTCTGGTTCTCAGAAAAGCAGACCCTGATGAGGTGCAACATCTTGCCAAACCATCTAGTTCCTTTGCTGAGATTTAGTGCTGACCATTCAGCCTTCTGATTAAAAATAGACTTTCCTATACCATAATGTTAGGTTGGACGTAGTCCAGGAAGTGCAGTAACTTATTATGTATGTTTCCTGTTAAAATGTAATAAATTGATACCATCTTTACATCATTTGGTTTCATACCCACTTGGTTTGTGTGACTAAGTCCCCAGGCGCCCATCAGCTCCTGGTGCTCTTCTCAAAGTGCCCACTGGCCTTCTCTGGCTACTTCAGGCTCTGCAGGGTCCCATGAGAGAAATGTATCCCTACAGGGCTATGGCATTTCTGAGAACGGGAAAACACTATACCTGACTGAGACTTGACAAGACTTATGCAGAAATAGTGAAGGATGGCGATTTATGGAGGAGACGCAGCTCAAGCAAAAGCCTAGAGGCAGAAATACAGCAATTAAGTTTGGTTTGACTAGAATATAGAACGTTTGTCCCCCGAAATCTTCCAGTATAGAAGTGATATAGTTAAGCCTTGAATGTTTTAAGGTTAGTCTATTTCAGTGGATCAATACTAAGTAGTAAATCTGACAAAGTTACCTTTTCCTAGGGGCTGTGTGACACTAGGTAGGCTCAATTGGTACTCTGTATGGTGGTCATTGGAGGGCATTGCAATCTTTGTTGCCTCGTTTCTAAAGTTTCAAATGAGGGCCAGCAGAGGAGTGGTAATTAAGGTGCTGGACTCCCACGTGACTGACTGCAGTTTGAGTCCCAGACCTGGTGACTCGTCTTTTTTTTTTTCTGTCTCTCTCTGGTGAATGCATGTGCCCTATACTAAATTAAACTAATAATGATAAATGATGTCAAGTAAACAATTCTTTAAAAAAATAAGTTTCAGATAATTTTATTCATCAGAAGAGAGAAGGGTGTGTGTGCGATAATAAGAATGTTCAGGAAACAATAATCACATGCCTTAGAAAAATTAAAAATCACAAATAGTAGTGTTGTATTAGGAAGAAAAAAGAATTTAAAGATCACCTGTAAATTCTATTACATGGAGACTCATCACTGTGCTTGCTGCTGATTCTTGCAGACTCGTCAGTACCTCATATGACTAAAAATATATGCTTCTGTGGGTGTTTGTTTTGAACTTAACAAAAATTGGTTCAAACATACAGGTCTTTTCTAACATATTTCTTTTATTAGAATTTCCTTTCCAGTGTAAAGCTCCTGGGAGCTGAGACCCTGTGTCCTGGTTAAGTCCTGCTGCCGTGTCCTAGGAGGCGCCTCCCACGCAGGCAGTCCTTGCAACGATGCTTTTGCTTCTGTTTTCAGGTTGGCAGCCTCGGTGGTTTCTTCTCTGTGGGGGAATACTATCCTATTACGACTCTCCTGAAGATGCCTGGAAAGGTTGCAAAGGGAGCATCCAAATGGCAGTCTGTGAAATCCAAGGTAAGAGATCAAGCAGGTTTTATGTTTTGTTTTGTTTTTTTAATCTTATTTTTTTTTTTAGTCACCCGGCAAAAATAAAGAAGCACTGAGCCCTGTAAGCCTTTCTCTGCCACTCTCATAGTGCAGACCAGGACGTGGGGTGAAGACCTTGCAAACACACCCTGAAACTGCAGCCAGCTCTTGTGAGGAGATTGGTTAAGAGGTGGTCAGCAAAAGGAGAGCAACGGACCTGTTGTCTGGGGCCAGTGGCTGTTTGGAAAACATATTTAAATTTTTACTGTAGCATGAGATGTTTCTTTGTCTGAATCAGAGCAGACACACCTGCCCACCTCCACACCCCCAAGAAATGAAACATGGGAAAACTGAATCTTGAGGCGCGTGCGAAGACGTGACTCAGAAGAGGAATAGATTAGGTGGGCATTTGGGGGCGAGGGTGGGTGAAGGAAAATGAGGTTTGCTTGCTTCTTTTCCTGAAAGGCTCTGAGGGAATTTTTACACTTTTGGTCTGACTTGTCAAGGGAACTAAAAGAAGAAAAAATAGATATTCCTCATGCTTCCAAATCAATCCAGGGGTATAAAGAATGTACCCTTGCTTGTTGACATGCAAACCTTTTTGACCTCAGAGCAGCATACTTTACATGCACACAAGCCAAAAGAGAGAGTCCCTCTCTATTCTGATAAAAGATCAGTTTAACCCAGGAGTTAAATTGGGCAATTGTGTCTTGGGCCAAAGTCTTGGTGATCTGTGGAGCCAATTGTAAGGTTTTCGCTCTTGATCAGTACAGCCGTCTAGGAGGAGATGATCAAGCAGAGCTTCGTGCGAACTAGGGGAGGTGGTGAGGGCCAGCATCCTGTCTAGGAAGAAGCCTTCCTTGAAGGGTAGCAGTTGAGCTTGAGAAGTTGAGTGGGGTGAGGGCTACCCAGACTGGGCTCCTCTAAGTCTCTGATCTCCCTCTGCCTTGCCTTCAGTTCATTCAGTAGATAACACACGCATGGACCTGATAATCCCTGGAGAACAGTATTTCTACCTGAAGGCCAGAAGTGTGGCTGAGAGACAGCGGTGGCTGGTGGCCCTGGGGTCGGCCAAGGCTTGCCTGACAGACAGTAGGACCCAGAAGGAAAAAGGCAAGTATCGATTGTCCTCTGGTCTGGGAACCTTAGAAATGACCACATGAGTACCTTGCCTCTGACTACATCACCAGCTTTTTGAAACATGCAAATGCTATGTAGAATTTAAACATAAGTCCGTATTTCGCTCTTCTTTCTTGGGATGCCATAATGGAAAGCGTGCAGGCTTCGGAGCCAAATACAACTGGGTTCAGTTGACAGCATGTTTTATTGGCTGTGTGACTTTCCTATAGGTCACTTAACCTCTGAATTTTTTGAAAGAGTTAAGACTAGCCACAGTGGTATAACCATAACGCAATGCTCTGTGCTGCTGCACCCATGTAGGAAGGTCCCAGGTTCACATTCCAGGACTTCCCTGTACATTGGTTGTGTGCCCACAGTCTGGGTTGGTTGGGCATAGTTCATGGCATGAGCACCGTGTTGGAGGCATGCCTCCCTGTACTTTCTCTCTCTTTCTTTTTCAGAAACAAACTTTAGAAAAAGATAATAATGCTTATCTTAAAAGGATTACCATGAGAATTAGTGATGCTGTGAAGCCATTTAGTACTCAGTCAGCACCAAGTTAACCTTCAGTGAAGAGAAGCTGAGCTAGGAAAGCCTTTTATGGGAATATTTTGTATATTAATACCCTGCTGCCCCTCGCTTTCCCTGGGGCTGAATGAATATTTAATTGTCAGGTTGCTGCTAATAGTCCTTAGTTTGCCACCATTAGGTCTGAGAACCAGGGCACAGCTTTCTCTTCAGGCAGGGTTTAAGTGCCAGGGCATACTGCCTAGGCCTTAGTTGCTGCTGTTCGGGCCCACACCCTGTGTAGACACCTGAAGAGATCACTAGGGGAAGATGGGGTGTCTAGGAAAATGTGTTCTAGGGACCATTTATCGTAGCAGTTGGGACAGATGTACCCGACTCTTCATACAGACCTAGTAAAATAACCTCTTTGTCTATTGTTTACTTTTTTTTTAAATTTATTTATTTACTTTCATTCACTATACATCATTACAGCATACAAAATGAGATTTCCCATCCAGAATACACTGTATATTGGCTCAATCAAGCACATCAACATACGTGTTATTGTCAACAAATAATTTTCCATTTCTTGTTTCCTGTATATTTTGCCTTTTTTTTCCCCCAACATTGATTCCCTATCTCACTCTCTGCCATCCCACCCTCCTCCTACACTGTCTCTGGTATCCATGGTTGCTTTCTATGCCTTTTCTTCCCATTTTATGGATTTACTAATGAACTTAATTAAAATATTTCCACTAGCAAGCGCAGCTGATATATACATGTCCATGAACATGAGTCTGACTTTAGGCATAAACCTCAGTGAGTAGAATGAACATACTATAAAGTAGCACCTAGCTGGGGCTATATAGCTTACTGCAGTCATCAAATATGCAATTTTTTTTTTAATTTCAAGAAAAACGGTTTTCGTGATTTTTTTTTCCTCCTGAAACTTTCTTTTAGTTAATTTACATTCATTCCCTAAGCATCGTCACAGCATACAAGATGTGGTTTCCCATCCAGCATATACTGCATAGAGGCTTAATCATGCATGTTATCATCAATAATTTTCCATTTCTAGTTTTATATATATATATATAATGTGTGTGTGTGTATATATATATTTACTCCTAAGTCTGACCCTCTGTTCTTTCCCACCCTCTTCTCACACTATCTCTGGTGTCTATAGTTGTCTTCCATTCCTTTTCCCCCCGTATTTTATTGATCGCACAGTTTCTTAAATAATCTAACTACTTTCAATAGCAAGTTTAGCTGGTAATTTCAAGAAAAGCGGTTTTGAATTGGTAAAGAAATTTTCTTAAAACTTAAAGCCCAGAAACAGGTTAGTGTTTTGTTCAAATAGTAGGTACATGAACCTATGGACAGCTCAAGACCAGACAAAAACTCTTAAAACCGGACAACAAAGCCTAGAAGAAAAGCAGCAATATTTTAGTCAAAAGTCACAGAATGCTATTTCACCAGTTCAGTCTCATATACTTTATCTTCTGTTGTGGTTCGATCTTCCCGATTGAATTCAACTATAATAAATATATAACTCCAGTTATATTATATTATTATATAACTATAATATTCAACTCCAGACTTGTCCCTACAATTAAGTAGGCCATTTTCTTAGTTTTTGAACTCTTTTCTGTGTGTCTGCATTTAATTTTCCTGATATAGCACTCCCTTGAGAACTTCTTGGAGATCTGTTCTGGAAATTCTTTCAGGTTTTGTTTACCTGAGAATGTTCTTGTCTTTTCTTCCCATATGAAGAATAATCTTGCCAGGTACAGTATTCTTGGTTGAAATTGCTTTTCCTTTAACACTTTGAATATATTTTCCCATTTTTTCCTTGCTTGCATTGTTTCCGATGAGAGGTCTGCTGTTAGTCTGATGGGATATCCTTTGTAGGTAACTTGCCGTTTCT